GAGTCCTCATGAGTCATATAGAAAGATTAGAAAGTGAGCTGACGCTGGCTGACGCCTGGGCCTTCAGGTCGGCCAGCTTGCGGGACATCCGCCAACTCTGCTGTCTGAGTTTAATTGATGCGACCATTGTTGTCACTCACCGTCATGGTTGCGACCATTTCTCGAAGCAGTCATCTCTAGCTTTGAAGGGCATGCATACAGTGATGGATGCCGATGGATGCCGTGGACAGTTCGGATACCGGTACCTATACAGTGTCAGTGAGTGTCGGTAAACAATAATCACGATTTTAGAAGAAGGACTTTACTGAATGTTGCAGGGAATAGCATATACCGATACCCATATATACCCAACATAGATATGTGAAGTGTAAAGGGACAACATGTTTGCCGGGTCTACCCGGCCTGCAGGGAGCCGCTGCTCAAGCGCTAGACATCCCACTGGCGCGGACGACAGAGCCTTGATATCAAGCAAGTCATCCCAAACAGCCAGAATCAACCAGACATGTTCCTGCAGTAGTGACAAGGATTGTTCGTATATGAAGATACGCTTAATTAGTATGGGTGATGAATATTCGTGACGGGACTTGAATGCTGGTGATAGTGAGGCGGATAGGGATTTGATTCGATGTTTGTCAGCCCATCGTCCGGTATTCATCCTTGATAAGAGGTCAGAGATCCCCAACCTAAGTACTCGTAGAAAAATGGAGATCTTCAGACGGTCAAGCTGGATATGCTCAAGTGTCACTTCGAGCTTTCCATTTATTTGCATTCAGAAAAGGTTCCAGAACCTCCGAAATGCAAGTATTTCGGTTCCAGATCCACACCGGAAGTTGCGAGTGGCCTAACACGAGAAATTTTGAAGCTTCGACTTTGATGTTCTAGTTTCAAACTGGCTGAGCAAGATGGTCTTTTGAGTGCCAGGAAGCAGTGAAACCCTATGACGATCTGTGCGGCCGCATCACGTTGAATTCGGTGCCCTCCTTTCCCTCCAAGCCCCAGAGGACCAGGCGTCCGCGTTGCACGCACCACGTGGCACGGTCCGCGTTGGGTCTTTTGGAGTCGGTCGTTTGTCCCTAGCTTTACATGTCCTCCGTTTCTGGAGCATCTCAAGAGATGTTCAGAAAATGAGGCCCTGATCTAGAGCTGTGTGTCCAGATGTGAATGACTGTTATTCTATTGTACAGTGGAAGAGCAAGATCGAGTTTGCAACAACAACGTCACTCAGCAACCATACAAGATGAGGCACACTTTCAGAGACAGCCTGCCCCTTCTGCCCCTCCGGCCGCTCCTGCCACGTGTCCTTCAAAGAGAAGAGAATGAGCATGAATGAACACTCTTAATGAGGATGGTTCTACATTGCTTTGTTAATCCACCCAACATTTTCAGTGGACGGTCAACGTCCTCGCCTCGCTTTCAACGTCCTCGCGAGGTTTGAGCGCTTGGTGGCCGAGAAAGTGGCCGAAGACGCAGCCTTCCGGGTTTTCTCGATGCCGAAGGTACGAAAGTAGGCCGTTTGTGAAGCAATGTAGACTGCTGATTAATGACCCCCCCCGACCAGAATCCTTTTACATGCTCATACATCGGGTGTTATTTATCAACTGTCACCATTATACCTACACTTTTACAGTAGTTTCGTGTTGATTTACTTGCATTGATGAACTACACCCTTCTTGGGTTGAAGGCAAACTGTGTTTCAAATATTTGTGATCGTTATAATTGTTGATTTTTCTGTTGTGATGAAGTGTTATGTGAAACGGTTTCTTTTGCTTTCCTTCAGACCTTCATCTTTTTCCTGTAAACACTACACAGTCTATACAATTGTACTTTCCACTGAGCCTCATCCACTCCTCACCACATCATGTGATGGTGTCAGGCGATTGCTCAGGACCTGCGAAAGGAAGCTGTGGTCCAGCTTTCACTTTGTTGAAAGCGATGCTACCAGAGTTCCTGTTGCTTTGTGGAACTCAGATTCACACCAGTTTTATATAATGTGCTCCGATCCCTCAGATGAGCCCTTGCAGTGCTCAGTTGGAACTTTGGACCTTTGTTGCGCCATGAGGACCTCTATGGTGACTTCTGTGACTTCACAGACGAGTCACCAGATCAACTTCAATTCCTCAGTGGCTCTGCAGAAAGAAGTGGTGTTTGGGTGAAGGTCATTTGGATCACAGCTGCAGACTAGTGACATGCTTTCCATTCCATTCCTGCAGAGCGATTTCATATACAGTAAATCCCGCCGTTTTTGAGATTGGAGTATAATCTAGCGCACAAATATGCAGTGAGAACAAGTACATGATACTGGGCAGAGTGCTGGATTCATAACTTCCATCATGCCTCTGCCTCGGTCTTGCATTTGGTCGTGTGGATGTCCACAACATCGCAGGCTTATCAGACTGGTCACTTTCAGTGATTGAGCATCCTGTTTTGAAGTCTACTGCGCTTCTTGGCAGGGTGGAGCCATGGCTGCAAGTGTATGTGTATGGTATGATTGATGATGGGCGTGCAGAAGAGTTTGAACGACCGCAAGAAACTTTGTATACGAATAAAGAAAAACAGTACACATCAATATGCATATTACTGTTGTGGCGCATTGGTTTTGCTGGGTTTCGCATCCCTGCGGTTAGGGATTGGTGACCACCATCAAAAAAATGGTGTCTAACTTGGCACATCTTTCTCTATGCGTTCACGTCGTGAAGCTGCTTTGGCTTTGCACTGAATACTTCAGATTCGTTGCGGAAGCCTCAGACCACGGGATGGGACGCTGCGTGCAGAAGCGAAGACCGGCTGTCAGGAACTCACAGCCTTCAAGCATCGGAATGAGAAGGCCCGGAGAAGACGCTGGTGTTCTTGTAGAAAAACGGTTTATATAAGGGAAGTTGACCATGGAATGAATCACAGGCTCGTTCTAGTTTGATAGCCGAAACATGCAGAAACCTTACTATCCCTATCTATCCATGTGCTTTACATTTTGAAAGACACTTTGTGATCTCAATTTCTTATTTTTGAGAGCTTGCTTCGACAAACCCCAAACAGAACTCACGCTTTGGATGGGTTGCATGGAAGTTCCCTTTGTTGCTACATGGGTCCCCAATCAGCAAGCCATGAGCGAGCAAGTGTCAATTTGGCGAGGGCCACTTCGAGGTGTCGTTCAAGATACATCCACCAGGCACTGACTTTGAGAGTGAGACCAGGATGCTGGGTGAGTGCTGGTTTAAAACATTGGTGACGTAAGGCTGAAGAAATTGCATGTTTTTTGAGAACCACATCATATCTCAACCCCAATGCAGCATGTCCCGATCTCTTTTTGGCAAAGTTGTGAAGGAAGTCGTGGTGAAGATACTGCGCAACACAGTGCATGTTATACCAAGAGTTATAATTTCTCTCCTTTGTCATTGGATCTCTGCAAGCACCTTCGAGAAGTAGGTTGTAGATGTTACTCTGTCATTTCCATTGTGAATTGTTGTTGATTGTGGAGGAACTCTCATTCTGGGAGGAAGTCCACTTGAATCATTTTGAATCCATGGAACATTCGCTGAGATTCATGGGTAGCTTCTTTCTGCTTGGTGCTTGGGTGGACATTGTTTTTGTAAGCGAGACGCTGACTCGAGGTGCTGAGCCAGCACTTGCAGAGGCCGGCTGAAGCGGCATATCCTTTTGTTAAAACGTGTTTTCGGAGGCTTTCGGTGGAAATTCCGAATTTACATACCTTTTCCGGAGTTTCCTTCGAAGAGGGAGTGTTTGATTGGGCACAGACAGAAAGTCCATCCGGGGGCCCAGTCACCCCTAGCCCTAGTCAGATCGCTTGATCATCTACCAGTATTTCATCTAAGAATCTAAGTACTACAACACCCAAGAAGTTCAGACGATGTTTTGAGTCTTTGGCTTGTTTCTTTGGACTTGCTGCTTCAACGTCGCAACGCGAACTCGGCCCAAATGTTGGTCCATGTTCAGAGGAACACTCAGTTGACATTCATCATCTTTCATCTACTTTCTGACAGATCTGGTAGAGTGCAATCCCAAAAATTGAGAGATAATATAATATAAAGAATGCATTCATGATACTGGTCATGGAAAGAAACCCCTCTTGGCTTCGTCGCAATCTCCAGGCCTCTGATGCCCCGCTGCCCACCTTGGCAGAGCTTCTGCCCACGGGGAGGGATTGAGGATGATGGAGGAGGCTTGAGTGCTTGGGGTGACTCGAGGGTGTCTAAGGTAGTTCGGGAAGTGCCTGGTATGTTTGGGCACCATCAGCCTGTGGGTGTGTATTGCATATCGAATATGAATATGGACACCTGGACCTGATCTTTCGGGGGTCCGCTGTATGGACATGAAATACCCAACTGCCGGCCAGCTGGTAAGGCCCATAGTGGGGAGAGCAGGGAAGCAGCCTGTGTGTAAATGTGTGAGTCGTCCGTTGTTTCAGGGTTGTGAACTATGATCAACTATGTATGATTGTTTTCTGGAGGTACATTTGCATACATTTGCGTTTCATCAGTACAAAATCAATGCAGCTAGTGAGAAAGAAAGAAAGAAAGAAAGATCTCTTCAGCTTACCCGTTTGGGCCATTTGGTTTCTTCCATCAAGACCCCGGATCACCTCGCCCTTTTCATTTGGGCCGCTTTGGCGAGCCAAAGGTAAGTCACAGAATGACCATCCTATGAAATCCTATGAACAGAGGCCGAAAAGGAAATCATGGGACATCCGACTGAGTTGTGACATGTTATGACGTTTGTGGGGCAACTGTGGGCCGATCCCATGCTTTGAAGGTTGGGAGGCGCCCAATGTGGACGGCCTCACGGCCTGATGCGCCACGGATAGCTTGTAGATAGTCGTTCCATCGGGCAAACACGCGAAAGGCTTCGGCCAGGAAGAACATCTGTCCACATTGGCGAAAGGCTTCGGTAGCACCTGACAGAGCAATACCGAATGAGATTAGGGAGCTATCGATCCAACATTTGTCATGAATGCCCCCAAAAGTTCAAGCACTCGAATCAAAGGGATCAGTGGTAAGTGCTGTTCATACACGGGTACCTCAGTTTGGGCCCTATGATGGGGCCTATGCTAGAGAATTCCCCGCCGCAGCACGTGCTTTGCATAAGCATTGTGTCTAAGCATTCTTTTGCTACAGTCTAAAGAGCGTTGAGAGGCATGTTTCTTTCATGCATTGTGTTCCATGTCTTGTTTTCTTAGCTACTGGCAACAAGTGCATTGCTAAGTACTGTGTCTTGTTTTCTTCTGGCTGATTGTAGAAGTGTCTTCCAAACCTGCCAGATTTCCAGCATGGCTCGAGAGAAGTGACCGCAACCCCCCCGATGCCACGGGACGAGCCACCTGGACTGATTCAGTGCGTTGCTGCGGTGTCGGGCCGCCGTGTCGGGACATGAGAACAATTACAAGCTGAAACCCAACTGAGGCCTGACATAGTTCCTTGTCCTTTTGATCGCCACATTTTCTGCAAAAGAACATTGAACGCACAGATGCAATGTGTGACGCTGAGGCAGCTTCCATGGGATCATGTCCCAGCGCAACTGTCTGCCTCAGAGGCTACAGAACTCATCCTGCAGCATATCGAAAAAGGCCCAACCGACTGAGGGAGACGAGTGGAGACGCGTTGTCGGCGATGAGCGCGATGAGCGAGATGGGCCTCCTGATGCGACGTCTAAGATGTGAAGCTTTGTGACTCATGGGTCAAAGTTAGTGGCTCGGTGACACTCGGTGACAATTTGTTTGTTGGTTTGCTTGGGAACAACATATATAACTTGTATTTCTGTGGATTGCTGGACATGCATTGCTTTTTTGCGGGTCAGTCGTGGTGTGGAAACTGCTTTCAGTCGTACCAGAAAACTGCTTCCATTATATGAATAAAACCGCCCATGACCAAGAAAAGAGATGCTACAAGCTGTAGAAGATCCCCCTTTGCGATTTTAAGCATCAGCTCCTTGGAGACGACCGCGCCAGGCCAGGTCTTTGCGAGGAATGTGGTCTCCAAGGCGGACAAGGAGGATTTGAGGAGAACTCGTGGAAAAGGGCTAAACAGGGAGAGCAACCTGTGGAGAGCAACATGTGAAAAGGGCCGTATCATGTGATACGGTGATACGAGAATAGAGATGAATAGAGGGGGTATGAAACCCAACGACGAGCAACGGGGTGAAGCCTTTTATTGTTCGATCCATCTCAGCTGTTTTCATGGGATCAATAGCATTGACCAAAAAGATCATAAAGCTCCGTGGGTGACGACCCGAAGAACGGGGTGCGAATTCCACCTGAAAGGGTTCGGATCGCACTTTTGCCGCAAAGAGCTTTCGCTCGGGTTTTGAAGAGCCATAGCTCTTCAGTGCTGTGAGGAGATTTGAAGAAAAGGCCTTGAAGCGCTTTGTCCAAGCGCCCAGCGCCCAGGTGTTCTTTTTGGCTGCGGGTATACAGCCTGCAACAATGAGCCTCAGGTCAAATGAATATGTAATTATATGTTACATGTTATAGAATCTAATGAGATCTAATGAGATATTGTGTATTGTAAAGAAACCACGACGGCTCGGAGCTCGTCTTTTGAGAATCGTTCCACGGCTCCGTCCGGTGGCTCCGAGACTTCACACGACCGGTGGCTCAGGCAAAGTGTGTTGAAGAGACAACAAAGCGCGCCAGAAGTCCGGCAAGCACGAAACTTCGGCAGACACTTCAGCTTTTTTGCCTTTTTTACCGCGGTGACGGTCTCTCTTGCGCTTGAGCATCACCACCTCTCGGGGACCAATTTGGAATCAGGGTGATCGATTACTTAGCACTTCGAGAGTACATCCCCCACGATGACATATTCAAGCGATTCAACAACTCTCTTGAGCGTAGCAGTGTTTTTCGTCCTCCACCAACAGGAGACCAAACTACTTCGCTTATGACGCTGGGACTTCTGGTTGGGTCTCCGAATGGAGGTTGGTCCAGTACAATTCCTGATGGGATGAACTGTGTAAGGGACCTCAGTTACAAGTGGATCTGAACCCTGGACATTGTGGGGTCAGCTTGGATGGTTGGACAGAAGCCTTCTCCTCACGCATCATTATGCTCTTTTTGGACCTGAGGAAGCAAGTAGAGGATACTGTATTCAGTTGACTGCCTGAGGGACATCATTCTCTACATCGACTTCGCTGTCGAGGACTTGGGTTGCTGTTGGGACACCAAATTAAAGCTCGGCTCCATTTCAGTTTAGCAGCGTGCAACAACTCAAGAACGAAAGTGGATTTCGTCATATTTTGTCGCGCTGTGGGTTAGTGATAGTTGTCATAGTTGTCGGCCTTTGACGCTGCAACAGTTGCAGCAATTTGTGTCAAGTTGCTTATAATACACATATGAATTCACTATTCTTTCATAAACGGTGGCCTGCTTTCAAAGATTTCGATGTCAGGACCAACTTTCAGCGTGGATTCGGTGTCTCAAAGAGACCACCAATCTACGTTTTTCAGCAGCAAAGCCTGGACCGTGCCATCTGACGATTGATACAGTTAAAGAGCAACATGTTGATGTTGCTATTTGTTTATATACAAGTTGGATGAATTCACCCAATCCATCAAGGTATCAGGGCCATCCTCAGGCCTCAGGCATGTGGGACTGAGAGTTGTCATGCTATATGCCACGAAGAAACACAGCACTCGGAGACTCGGGGTCCGTCGATGACTTTCTTGATGGATGTCCTTGGCGTGAACTCCCCAGCCCATGACATGTTAGTGTTCAGCCATTGAACAGAATAATCCGCACCTGCAGCTAACAACCTTCAAGCACCCATGTTTTATGATGTTTTATGATATTGTGATATTGTAGTTTGAAGCATAGCATGCTCTTCATGATCTAAAATCTGGGTTCTCACACAGTGGTTTTGATAGCCTTCCTCTCAGTGAGGTGGCCCCTACAACCCAAGTGTCCTTCAATCTTCAAACCTCACTGACACAGGGTTGGAAGCTTTGAAGCAAAGCACAGACCAAGACTAAGACCACTGAGAATACCATAGAATACCGATGAATACCGATACCATCCGATACCGATACCTGGCTTCAGTCCATCCATCCTCCAAGGTTGGTGCCAACAATCATCTTGGTCCGGGCCAGTCGATTCCTTGGCACACCGTGTGATGAGCGAACACCGAAAACGAAGTGACGACCTGGGGCCCACCGGGGGTGTTCGGGGCGTTTGGCGCATCTGTTGCACTCGAGGTATGACACCCATATGGTTGGCGCCATGAACTGGGAAAAGGATGCGGAGCTTTCACATCCAGCTCAGAAACAGACCCTTGGCCGAACAGATAGTGATATGTGATACGTAGTGACTACGTAGTGTATGTAGTGAATTGTGATGTTGGCATAAGTGTATGTGTTCTTTTTTGGCGGTGTTTCCGATCGCCCAGGTTAACATCACACAAGTCACCGCCCATTGTGAGCTTCACGCATGCAAAGGGCATAGGCACCTCGATCCCGTCCGAGTGGCCTCGGTGATCATGGGTGACAGACAGGTGATGACCTGGACGAATGCTGTGGACGATTGCTGTCGGACCAGCCTTTTCATCACACATATCATATGGAGAAAAACCGAGAATGAACATCCGGAGGTGTGATCTAATGGTTCACACATGTTTACACCAGTTACACACTCGGAATCTTCGATCCTGGATGAGTTGAAGACGTCTCGCGGTTCCGCCATCCACGACGATGGGAGGCCTGTCCCAGGCGAAGATCACTGGGGCGCCAGGGCCGGGGCATTATACGATGCCCGACTTGTGGGATCCTCATTGGACGCTTGGGCCAAAAGTGAAAGGCGGCGAAAAGGCATCAAAAGGCAAGCGCTGAGGTCTGAGGTCCTAGTGTTGGTAGCGACTTGTTGTGATTATTGTGGCTGTGGATCAAGACCCGGAGCCCGTTTCACCCTAGTAATCAGGTTGACCTTTCTGGCAATTTATTCTGTGCATTTTTCGGTGCAAGGCCGTTGGGTGGCGCAGGATCCAGTTGCGCAGTATCGATCAGGGGTCCAGGATAGTTCTGTTTTGACCCACACCCATTCTAGACGAATTAATACAAATTATATAATACAAATTAGACAAAGCATCCTCTAGACATCGATGGGTCCCATCACAGATATTCCCAGCGAGTTTGTCAGTGACGACATCTGACTCGACCTCTGACGACAATTTGGACGCCCCACAGAGCCGGGAGCCGCTACTGGTATGGCTATAGACAGCAAGAAGAAACAAGAGACGTCAATCTTCGAACAAACAAGGTGAAACGCCTTTAGATATGGCTCAAGATATTTGCTGTCTCGGGTTATAGCTGCTGTTCGCGTGTACATTTGCCTGGGAGTGAATCTGGCATAGTCCGACTGGTGCAGTTCTTGGTTCGCAGCACCACGTTGGTTCGCATGTTGGAAGTCAGTTTTCGGGCCACCGGTTCTGAGGCAACATTGTCCAGCTCTGGGCACCTCTTTCGCACGGATCCCACCGGAACCGAGTGATTCCCGGCCTCTCGACGACCAAAACATCAGCACCAAAACCTCGCCGGCCTGAATAACGTGGGGGCCAAAACAGCACAGTATAGGTTGACATAACATAGTAGGAACGAGAAGCTACTAGTAGATCTAGTAGCTCCTGTCATCGCTACTAGGAGCGCGGACGCTATTAGTAACCATCCAAAAGAAGCTGGTGCACGGCATTCATTTGGTTCCTTTGGGGAGATCACCCAGGGTGGCGGGGTGCCATGACCATGGCAATATGATCTCGTTCCCTTCTTGGATTTGCCATGCCCAAGGTTCGGCGGCTTAGCGAAGGGCATCTTGAAGACCTAAGGGGTCTGGCACCCGCGCCAGCAATGAGCCGGACAGTTGGCACGTGAATTCGGGATGTCTGAGAATGAATCAAATCTGCATCTCAACATATCTCAAATAGTTGCTTTGGGAAGAAGTAGATACACGCTCAAACCAAAATGCACGTAAAAATGATTTTTCCAACTGCTTGTAGGTTCTGTAGGTTCAAGGTCGAAACTGAGATACACCTGAGAACGACTGTGTGTGAGTGACTTTGCATGTGCTTATCCGATGTCGGCCATGGAGCCTGGCACATCACCTGCTTGCCCAGTGAAATTCGCTTGGTGAGTCAGGTCTTGTAAAACAAGCGCCTGGCAACCGATGATGCCCAGGGTTGCCTGAGCTTTGCTTCCGGCATCCCGCATGATGTGAAGTGATCAAACGAGAGTTCACCAACCCTGATGTCACAGTATGCGGCGGTCAGATTGAAAAGAAGTCGCAGACCTGGAATCCATTTGCCATGGAATGCCATATATAGGAAAGAAGGCATAGCTTGCTATAGTTAAGTTTCCCTAGAACTCTAGGAACCACATGATTAGTGAGAGCGCTTCTTCAAGGAAGCGTGAGCTGTCCTGCGTCCATAGTATGTAGTAGCGTCCTGTACCTACTGGCTACCAGCTACCTACCTACCTACTACGGCCAGCTTCCCCGGGCTTTATTTAAAAAAGAACACAGTGGTGTTGATGTTTGCGGAAAGAAGGTCTTCATAGCGCCGCCACCGTGCAGACTCATGCTCTAAGGTTCCATTTCCATTGCTCGAGCTTATTTGGCACGCAGGCTGACGGGGCTGGTGAGAGGCACTGACTGTCAGTTGCTTCCATGAGAGAGGCATAGAAACGCCCTAATTACATGCTGCATGCCGTACGAGTATGAGGAGCAATCAACATGTTCGTTGTTTGGACACCTTCTCTTTCTGCCAGGCAACCACTCTTGGCTCTACCGCCCCCAGATGCAGAGGTGGGGACGGTGGAGTATGTCAGACGACCCGAGGAACCGCTGCAGTTGCCTTTTTTGAGGTGAGATGGATCCCAGATCAGAATGTCTTAGCTTGCGAAATATATATATATATAATACATGATTTTATATACAATACAATGTCACCATGCGTAACCTGCGCAACCTGCGTCGCCTGCATAGCTTGTGGATTGGTCGGAGATCAAAAGGGTTTACGGCGATGGTCCATGGGACAGCCCGAACAAGTTGTCAATGGTTGAGGTACATGTTGAGACTACTGTAGTAGCAATGGCATCGCTACTAGCTAGAAGCTTCCGTCGTGCTTCCGTTTGTTGCTGTGAGGAGCTTCCATGGCGGATTGCTGTCGCAATCGCTCGCTCGGTCATGTTCTTGTACTGCCCAATCCTCGGCCTGACATGAATTAGACATGTATGAATTTCAGCTCCCAAGAAGTTCGAAGATCGAACAGCCAATGCTTTGAAACACCCACTAAGTACACTGAAACAACAGTACGCATCAAAAACGACCCCTGTTTGGAAGCACTGTAGCCGTGTCGCATGGTATTTGCATGTATTTGCAATGAACCGTAAGGTCTGTTTTTGCTCCATCAGTTTTGTTTTTGAACGAACCCTTTGCTGCATCCAGAAAACAACAATGTCGGTCACTGTGTCTCTTCGCATTTCCTCCCGCAATGCACGTTCCAAAAATTGCTTTACACTCTTTTTTCAGACCAGGGCTGCAGGTGTTTGATAGAGCATCTTGCGATGACAATGCAGACGATGTTATGATGCCAATGACATCCCATGACAATGTTGTGAAACCGAAGAACACAGTCCAAAATCGGGGGCCGTTTCCAGTCCGCCGGCTGAAACGTAAGAAAGGAATAGCAGTTCAGTTTCGAGTCGCGTCCGAAAGACCGCGCCGAGGCGCTGGAGGTGAGGATCTTTCGAAGTTGGGCTCGGCATTGCAGGCATCGGGTCGGATGACATGGATGGCAGGTGTCAGCGAGGCAATTGCAGGAAGGAGGCCAGATTTCACGACTTGTGATGTCGGTGGTGGTTGGGATTGTTTGGAATGTGCTTGATTGATCCATCCGTATTTGGGAAGGATTATTCATTGTTCCAATAGTGGTTTGACTAACCAACCTCTTGTGTTCGATGTTGTTAGCTGCACGTGGTGAAATGGTGGCATGGTGGTTTGGGATCAATTCAACACCAACTGGTATCGCTGGTTTCCAAACAAGTTCTGTCACTTGTGACACGATTCGGTTTGGATCCACGTGGGTACGGTATGTAGATGAGTGTATAATGATACATGATGATACATGTATAATATATATATATGATAGATGCATGATGATGCAATGGTTGCCCCGTCCGATGCCAGTGTGGTAGTTGCTAGATCACAGATGATCACTGGCATGTTGGGTGATTGGTGATTGTGAGATCCTGTGGAATGTCCTTCGAGTCGACTGCCTCGACTGCCAGGCGCTTCGACAAAGGCGCCGTGCGCGTGGGACGTGTGGACGGTCTAAGCTCCTCTTGGACCGGACCCTGTTACCCATCCCACATGCTGGAGTACCAGCATCCCATTGCCAGAGTACCTGTTGCTAGTTCGCAGAGTTTAGAGTGGAATCTTCCTGTGCAATTCATATGGTTCATGATTCATGATTCAAGACATTTCAACACAACACTATACAATGCTAGCACCAAAGGTTGGTGAGGGCCTAGTCTCTTGCTCTTCGGCTGTAGGTATTTCTTTGCAGAATGACCCAGGAGTTGAACACATTGACAATCAACCGCTCCCGCGAACATAGGCCTTCAGCTCATGGTTCAATGAGGAAAATGCCCGACAGGCTTGGTTTGGCTGAGATGTCTGCCAATATCCTCAGTGAGGCCCGGGACGATTCCTCAACCGCATGTCATGGCGAGTGTCTGCATGGTACTCGGTTTGGGTGTGGGATCCCCCGCCTCCGCACTGGGTTCCGCCTGGTTTGTCTCCCTTTTTTCGGCTGAGGATGGGCCGGATGCCATGCTTTTGAGACCAAATCAGCAAAAACACATGTTTCAAATTGCTCCATGACATCCTGAACCCTGAGCTCCCTTCAAGCAGGTACATGAGCAAACGATTCGTGAGGCGCCTTGGTGCGAGTCTGACACTTTCGCGGTGCTTTGTGGCTTAATTTTGTATGATGTCCAAAGCCAAGCCGATTGGATAAAGCGCTGATGAGTCGGGGACGATTGGTGACGCAAACTTGCAGGCTTACAGCCGTTTTAACGACAGCTTATATACCAGCAATGTCCTTGGCACAAAAGCCTTTTACAGAGCTACTCCTGTAAATTTGGCACAGTGCCCCATGAAAGCAAGCAACAGTGTTTCAGCACTAAACCAGGGTTTCTCGAAGCAGGAAGCTAGGCTGCCAACAAAAATGGACTCATATCTTTCCAGCATCTAGGCTTTCGTCAGTGTCTTTGGTGGGTCCCGTGTTTTTGCCATGCTGCCAATACGCTCAAGAGGGAGGTCGCTGCTATTGCCGCTGATCCTGGCCGCTTCAATTGTGCGGCTAAGCTTTGTCGCCCCACAGGTGCCAGAGGGGAAGGTGAAGCAATGAGGTGACCGAACTATTAAGTCCAAGAGAGCTTTAAAAGAGATCGAGTTCAGAGGAATTGATCATGGTTTGACATGTTTAATTGAATGAAGCTCCTTGTATTGCCTTGCTCCAAGAAATGTCATTTTTTGTTTAAAGCTCCTACACTGTTCTTGCCGATGATAACATTGTGTTTCCCGTGTGAGGCACAGAAGATCCAGAAGAACCCACATTGGATGACAGGCCGCTCGCTTGAGAGGCATTGGGGACATTGGGGACCCTTGCACACAAGGTTCATGATCCTTCCTTTTGGAGTGGAATGTGGACCATAAACGGAGATGTGCAGTTCATCCAGCTTGTTGAGCTGTTCAGTTCAGAACATGAACACTTTACCACTCCCAGTTCTGGGATTCTCGTTTTGTCCCGAGCATTGAGGTGCGATCTTAGCCATCCCTACATGGGCGCAACTTGGTTGAAATCTACTGCCGAGCGCAAACCGGTTTCTAAGTCGTTCTTGTTCGGTAAATGTCAGGTCCTGTCTTTTGCTCGTCCCCGATCAGTGGTCCTCTAGTGACTGTAGTTTATTGAAGCCCTTGAGTTTGCAGTTGCCGTTGGTCGAAACAATCATAAATATGAGCCACTCTCAAACACGATTGTTGTCTTAGGACTACAGGGATGGAAAGCCACCCAATGCGTGACAACAGCAATTACAGGAACTCTGATAGTAGTTGCTGATCCGAGGGTTGAATGAGAAGGCATTTTCATTTTGTCAAAATTGCCATTGGGCCTTCATCAATTTTGCCTATGTAGTTGCTTCGACATTGTCTTTATATAGATTGGGTAGTTCGTAGATGCTCTCAGGTGAGCAGAACTTAGCTACGCCTCTGAAAAGGTGCGTTCAATTCCGATGCATGTATTGAGCTTCATGGAACATCGCAATGTGAACTCTTGACAACGGAACCTCCAAGGCACGCAGAAGCCGCAGGCCGGATCACAGATTTGGAGGTCGATTCGTTGCTCGGGAGATCTTATCTCAAAGACAAGCCATACAGTAGGAGCCAGAGAATGAAGCTATATTTCTCCAGCCCTTTGTTGCTGTTCAAACATGGAAAACACAGATTTTCTTCAGTAAGACGTGTAACATGTAGATCTTGACAAGACCAAAAACACCAGTTGTAATAGACCTGTTTTCCTCTCTGTACTGGACCTGCTGATCCTGACTTTCAGCGTGTTTCAGCCATTGCATTGGGCGTGGGTATGAGATGGTATGAGTGGCTCGAAAAAGTAGCAGACCCAGAGACTAGACCTGCAGTTTTTGGTGGATATCTTTTTCTTGCACCACTGGGTTTGGGAGCCAATACTCCTTTTCTCCACGTGTCCTGTCCTTTCTTGATCGGGGGAACAAAGCACATGGGAAGCCACCCAGCCAAATTGAATCTCACTGGAGGCCTGAGGCCGAACCTGACGAACATCGGAACATCCGTGTCAGCACTGAACATGCTCTTCAGCACTGTGTAAGATTGTGTAAGCAGAGAGCGGTGGCAGCGACGGTCACAGCGAGTGGTGAACGGAAGGATCTGCTCAACACTGACCGAATTGGTGACTAAAGTCGTGTGACGACCGTTTTTAGACACGATCCATGGGAAATCTCCCGCAGATAGATATTTCATGCTTTTCCGAGTGTTCGTCTGATGGGCCGTTGAGCCAACAGTAAGGCGAGGAAGAGCTTGGAGAACCTTGTCTGAAAGTCTCAGAAGACTCACAGCAAGAAAGCCACACCATAAAGCTTGAGAATGTTGCTGAATATGTACAAGATATTACAATATATTATGATATAAAGCACTTGTTTGCCAAAAAGCTTGACCTAATTTTATGGCCGCTTGCCCCTCAAGCGGTGGTGTCCTTAATTTTATTAAGGCGGGTGGCTACATCAAATGGGGGCTGGAGCAGCAGGCTTTTGCTGCCGTGCTTCTTGCCACATTTTAATGCAGAGTCTCTCAGAGTTTAGTCTATGCAGAAGTTGTGACTTCCAAAAAGTCCGAAATCATCAGGCATTCAAAACAACACAAGTTCAGTGAAGATGAGACATGTTTAGTGACTTCGCACTTCGGGGAAGATATGTCATCTTATGTAGCTGCTTTTCGCGCAACCTTGGTACATGTGACTGTTTGTCAGTCTTCCGACATTTGATTGACCGAAGGGGCTTCTTGTGCGAAAACTATGGTTTACACATGTTTACACCGTCACCCCAAATCAGATACGAAACTCAGTGTTTCCTGGTTTCTCGCCGTCGCCAATTTCATGAGGTTCTTTGTCATTTTCCCCTTTGGCGTGCTCTACCTCCTGTTCTCCGGCCGTTTCGGTTGGTGGAGCCTCGTCTTGAAGACATCACTACACGTCAAAGGGCACACGGCACACCTTTCAGTGAGGCTTTGCGAAACAAAGCTGCGAACGCCCAGGAACTACGGCTTGGATGGCAAAGAGCTAACGGCCAAGGACCTTGCCTGTTGCGTGGATGTTCGTGGGTAGTTGTTCTTAGCGCTGTGAGTGGTTAAGGGTTTGAGGATGGTAAACGTGAAACAAAGGAGCTCGTTGAGCCAAAGAAGAATGGATGGTGAAGTTGTGTAGTTTGAGCTCCTGCGGTGGATGGCAACATTCCACAGACAACGGAGAGGCTGTCCCACCTTGCTTTGCAACCCTTTTGAGGAATACAAAGAAGCCAACAAAGTGGACAAGCCAACCTGGGGCAGATTTCCATGGGAGCTTGAAAGTGACCTCTACAAGAAGTGAGGCTCAGACAGGCAAAGAAATCCTGGTCTCAGTCAAGGGAGATTGGATCTCCACTGACTACAAATCAAATTGGCGCAAGGATTTTTTTTGTGAGTGCTTAAAATGTGACAGCGGAGCAGTGCACGATTGCACGGGGCCAATGTTCATTCTCTTGTTTTTCTCAAGGATCACCACTTCCATTCAACTATCATCAATTATCTATGAGGTTGGAGGCCATCGCTATTATATATGCCATTAAAATTATAATATATATGTCATCTATGTGACCCGTGATTTCGGGCCACCTCCGACCCTCAACGACTTTTCAACCCCGACGTCCACCGGTCGTATCTCGTGGAGGCAGCTGTTGAAATGGAACTTTGGGAGGCAAATGGGATCGTTTTTGGCGGTACCGAAGCCTGGGTGTTTCTGTTTTGTGTCAGAGTGAAACACTGAATCACGTCATTAAAACTCATTAAATTCAGATTGGCCAAACATGATGGTTGAATATGATTGACAACGTATGTGTTTGTCAACATGGGTATTGAAGTGCGAAGCCATGGTAGGCGAACATTGCCACCTTACTGTTCGTATTTACATTTCTTCTAATTTTTGTTCACAGAACAAATTGGCCGAGTCTGAGATGATTGGTCGGTGCAACGCGCTTTCGAACTCGAGAAGTTCAATCCACCGCTTCACCGCCACCGGGTCCCCGGTCGAGGCAAGCACCAGCGTCTCGGACTTCTATGCGCCGAGTCTTCTTGGGCGCTCGTGGCCACTTGGCTCCAACTGAGCTTTGGTGGAGGATCTTGCTAGGTTCGAAGAATCTGTTTGCCATTTAAGATGCTGAAGGGATTTGATACATTTTGATACCATCCTCAAAAAGACCCTTGTAGTGTGGTGTCCGTGGTGGTGGCTTTTGTTCTTTTGCCGATGAGAGGGACAGTCACTGTCCATACCATACCCAGTGCTTGTGCACTTTTCTGCAGGCAAAAGCCGCTGCCAAAGAGACGGAGGTAGAGACCCCAGTGAGAGAACAGGGTCAACGGATTGAATTATGCTTTCAATGGGCTAAATCATGTGAGGTCTTTGCCTTCTGCCGTGACGGTCAGATAGTGTTGAGATTGGTAGAGCGGGTAGAGCGCTTCTCTCATGGGTGTACTGGGGACACTGATTTAGGGTGATTTCAACAATCCCCATGTTCCGGTAACTATTCACGAAAAAGATAGCTTCCGTGAAGGCTACCTTGAGTTTTGTCTTGCCAAGCAAGGGGGCAGCTGCAGGAGGCTTGTTGGTGATTCATCAATGAAGACGAGTGGCTTATGTTGAAAGAGTAGTCTCCACTGCTGGTGTCGGGTTTGATGTCCCCTTTCATCTCTCCATGTACGAATTGGGTGTTCCAGTGGCGGAACGATTTTGTTGTGGCTTTACAGGCTACACGATTCTCAGCATTTCTTCATTGCCCTCCAGGGCTGTACGGTGTCGCTCGAAGTCGAAGATCTGCTTGAATCTGGTTGGAGGAAGCATGCTTTTGGTCAACACGGTGGAGGAATTTAGCTTTTGAGGTAGAGGCCATCGCTATTAGGTCGGAGGCCATCGCTAGTAGGAAGCAAAAGTTCTTTCCCTCCGAGCTGAGAATTGCGAGGAATCCTCGGATGTTCGTTAGAGATGTCAAAAGGTTTACACTTCTCGCCTTGGAGATGGAAGATGCCACTAGCTAGACGGAGCGGTTTATATCAGTTGTGGATGTCAAAAATGTAGTCCTGAGGGTTCCTAGTCAATTGCGCTTTTACTCTCAAAACGGAAACTGCAATTTGCATTTGCACCCACACTTATTCATTAATATTCATATTATTCCAAAATTTTAATATTCTGGACTCACTAGACTTCACCCTACACCACTTGGGTGACGTCACCACTCTCACAGCTGCCAGAATTTCAGAGTGCTTTCGGCAGAACTGTTGGCGCCTGAGGCTCGTGGCCGAGATTTCGGGCGCATCTGCACAGTGGCCCACTCTGGCATGCTTAATGATTCTGCGGATGAAAAGCGAGCATTTCGAGATGTACTTGTACTTGAGTGCTTCTGAAGATGTCTGCGAATTTACCAAAGGTGCCACAGTCTTTGTGGTTTTCCTTGCGCAGGTTACTGCCATGTCTGAGCACTCTGGAAGGCGGCCGAAACAAGTTCCATCAAGAGAGCTTCCACATTCCTTCCACATTCTTCTCTTGGTCAGGATCGATGGCCTCCGCGGATGCCAGCCTGTGCCACGGGGCTGCATCCAGCGTTGCTCATGCCAATGATGCTTTTCACAGGAGTGCGTGTGATCCAGCGGTTTAGTTTGATGGGACGTCGTTTGCACGAAACTATAATATGAAACTGCAATTTGTACATATATGTTTGTGCTACTGTATATAAATGCTTCACAACATGGGATGTCGGATATCGGTTTGCTTCAACCACAAAAGGGATCGAGTCAGATTGAAGGTCTGAAAAGAGGTGAACAATGAACGTAAGGCATAGTAAGGCCTCCTTTAACAAGGTCCCTTCCTTTTTTTTACAGACCCGGGCACTTGGGGCCATGATGAGCTGAGCCGTCTTCAGGCCGCTGTTTGCGTCAGCTGGCGCAACCATATGCGGCCAGGGCGCGGGGGGCGGGGACTTGGTGTAGAAAGGGGGGCAGGGGCTGAGCATGCAACTTGGGGGAGAAGGAATGAGTGCATGGAATGGGACATTCTCCCAGTCAAGTTTTCACTCTTTGATCTGAAATCAGAATTGTGTCATGTCATGTCCAATTTCACTGCTTGATAGGGTAGGGTGTGAAGTTGGAAGACGGAAGGTTCACTAGATGTGCCGGTGAAGTCCATCAACAACCGACATGAAGACATCCTGCTGTTTCCTTTTCTTATCATTCACTTAACATAATGCAGCAGTTTCACTCATGTACCAGGGAGATTTGAAAACATCAATCAATGTTGCTTCCCAACATGCAGGATTCCTCTGTCCCATCCTAAAGGGGTTCAAGCAGTTTGGACGTTAAGTATCCAGGAGCATCACAAATCCAAATATAATCGATTCCAAGCCCTGCGCTGCCGCACTCACTGCAGATCTCCGCCAGGGCTTCCACCCATCAGCGACCGGAAAGCTTTTCGCAGCAGTGGCCTGGCGCGTGGGGCCACGACTGCGGAGTTATCTAGAGGCGCCGTGGAGCACGCGGCTGCCCCTGGCTGTGATGCAGGGATCCTCGGCTTTTTGCGGTGTTGGGAGTCAAAAAGAGGTGGGCGGATTTTCTCGAAAGTCAGAGAAGGATGAGCATCCATTTGGCCATTTAGTTATTGCCGTTCGACAAGAATTGATTTGAAAGGGCTGTGGCTGGGGCTCAACAGATGTGTTGGTCACAGCTCCAGGCTTATAGAGGACATGGACACAGGAAGCACTGCTGTTTTTGATTCGGCATTGCTGGTGACCTTTGTCGTGTCGGTGGTCCGCGACTCAGGAATTTGGTAGCACATCTTGCAGTGGGCTCAGAAATTCACCAGGATGGGTGAACGGAGCGCATGTTTGGGAGACTAAAGCATTTCTGGAACAGCAAATCATAGCAATGAAATGCAATATCAGCAAGAACCTCACATCCATCTTCACAAACAATAGGGATTTTGTTGGCCATAGATGGCGCCCAGGCCAGCAGGCTCTTTTGCCTTCAGCCAAGAATGCCTCAATCATCCCAGACATAGACAATGTGACAAGCTGCAAGAAATAGTTTTCCAACTATTTCCAACTATCACATTCGAAGCTTGTTCACCAGTGGTCACATTTCCAGATCTACTTATATCCAACATCGTCTCGCCCATTCCTGAAAGGGTAGGTACACCAAACCTAATAGACTCGAAAAAAGCGTCGACCAAACCGTCAGATGCATGCAACTCGTCACTCCGTCGCTCGGTCCACAGCCGAGCGTCCCAGGTCACAGGTGCTTGCATCTCTCGTCCACCACCAGCTTTATGTCAGGCTGAGTCGAAAAGCACCACCGGGTGCGGAACACCACCGGGATTGGGAGGTTTTTGAGGCGAGGCGGTGAAAGGATTGAACGATTGTTTGAATTCCTTGCAGTCAAAACTCACATTGGGCTGGATATGGTCATCTTTCCCTGCAAAGAATGAAGGGTGTTGAAAGACATGTTGTTTTTCTGTTTTTTTTTCAGAGAAAGGACACCAATTTGTTGATGCAATCGATGGGTAGATCATCCTGAGAGCTCCCCAAGGCCGCCCCAAATGCCACCGCAAATGCCTCAAACGCAGGAGTCTGGGACGACCGAGCCATCTGGGGATTTGTCAGGATCTGAGACAACATGGAGGATCCTTAAGGCAATGAGGGGTAGGGGTTGACCTATGTGAAGTCGAAGAAGTCTATCGTGGCGCTGTGGGATCCTAACAGTCAACGCGATGATCCAAGGTTCCATGTGGTGACCACGTTGGTCTGGCCCTCAGGCACTCAAACGGTACTCAAACATCTGAGTTCTTTTGGAACTCAGAATTAGGGACGCTTTTCGAAGCTGATGTGAGGTGATTTTTGCGGTTCTGCTCTTTCGTCAACAGTTCCGGCCAGCCAGTGGCCATTCATATCCATTCATCCTTTGGTTCGAACTGCCACCAAAGGGTCTGATCAAACGACCAAGATCCCGGGTGGTGTATTTTTGCATTGTTTGAGCGTGGACCATGATGAGCATGATGGCGGAAGTGGGAAATGTGGATCCCAGGGCAGAGCTTCACTTTCGTGGTGAATGCATTCCATGTCGCTACCTACGTCGGCCAAATGGATGTGCCAGAGGGGATGCCTGCAGATTTTGCCATCTTTGTACCGACAAGCAGATGAAGATCTACTACTTCAATCTTCGGAGAGAAGTAAAGGAAGGGAAGCAGAAGTCAACGACAATGATTACCCTAAAGGAGGACCGGTTTTCAGTGTGAGACCTTTAGGACTTTGGAAAATTGTTGAAATCCCAGATGCATCTTCAATACTCCCCTTTGCTGTTGCCTGCTTTGTTTTTCCATTTGTGTCGAATGTTCAGGCGGCGTTCTGACCCAGCCACAAATCAAACCTGCTGTTCCGTTCTTTCCTTAGTATCA